AGGTTTAAATTGGAAGGTTAAAAAGTAGAAGAGAGCAATTTTAGCTAACTCAAAAAGTCTGAGTGTGAACTGCCCAAGAGAGAAAAGGCCATTAACTGACACAGTAGAGATTTGAGAGAAAATTGAGAGATTTTTCTTTTTATAAAATAGGAGAGATAAGCATATTTGAATGGTAATGGGAAGGAGCCAGTAGAGAAAAAGATTGAAGGTCCAAAAGAGCAAAGAGAAATGCGGAGGGAAAGGATCCAGAGCACACATGAAGGGACGGGCCTTAGGTAGCAGAAGGTGTGCCTCTGAAGCAATAGCAGGAGAAGATGGAGATGGGTGTGGAGGCAGGTAATTTTGTCAGTTTGGTAGCAGCAAGTTTGAGGAAGTTTTGTCTGATGGCTTCTGTTTCTCTGTAAATTAGAAGGTAAAATTATTTGTGGTAAAGGAGACATATCCAAAATAGCCACTGTGAGCAAAGAAGGGAGAGCTGACTAGGGAAACACAAGGATTACAGATGGAAGACTAAGGGCCCAGGTGTATTGGTGACCATAAATGTTATATGGGCAGTACCCTGGAGAATTGTGCGATATTCTCACATGCTCAAATTTCTCAAATACTGCTCAGCAGTCCATATTAGGGTGTAGAGAAAACAGACAGTTGGATTCATCTACAATTGCAATGTTTCCAGGCAGGTGGGATGGAATAGCCATGGGGCAAAGATATTGAAAACTGACAAGAGAATTACGGAAGTGATGGACCACGAAAAGTTTCAAGGTGGAGTATGTAGAGACATCCGTGCGCTGGACATTCCAATCATTTTAAAGACACTTTCTTGGGGAAGGTTAAAGGAGATTGCCAGAAGAATAGGTTTTCAGAGTTACCACAAGATAACTAAATGCATTATTCAGAGATGGTACATTTTAGGGTGATGGAAATGGTCTAGGATACAGCCATAGATGTCAGTGACTAAAATGGAGTAGAGGAGAAAAACATCACTGAAGATACCAGAGAACTGAGAGACCACGGTTTTGAATGGGGCATAAGTTACCCAGAATGGTGGCAGTAATTGAAGTAGAAGGGGGTCAGTGACCCTTGTGCCAAAGTTGTTTAATGATTGAAGACAGTGATTGGGTGGTTAGTAGGTGATAGCACTGGGGAAAGGGGAAAGTGATTATAACACAAGGAGATTTGGGGCTATTACCGGAAGGTGGAGAAATAATAGTTTCAAAGTGATGTTGAAGAGTGAGGAAAACATAGGCTTATGCTACCTCCTGACGCCAAAGTACATGGGATATTGGAGAGAGGGCTGCAGGGGGAGGTGGTGTCCAATAAGAGCTAGGTTTCAGTTAATGAAATGAAAGGAGCATTATGTGAAAAGTTGAGGAGGTGTGGGTATTTATGGAGCATGGAACCTAAATTTCACAAGGAAGTTTGGATAGGAAAGAAAATAGTAGGAAATAGTGTCTCACACACGTTTTAAGGCTGAGAGTGGGACATGATATGTTTTTGGACTTATTATGTTTTTGAACACTGAGCAAGGCTGATTTAGTGGATGTAAAATATGGCTGATTTAATAGGTCTTGAGTTTGAGAGAGAGTTAATGACACTCATTTCTTCAGAATTTAGTCATGAGTTGGGTGGGAAATACTTCTTAGGAAGGTACCATTTCTTGCAGGTTACCGTTTCTCTGGTTCCTCTGAAAGGTGTCGGTGCAGGCCTAGCCATAATAAAAGGGCCCAGGAAAGATTCTCAGGGCTTGAGTTCTAGGCCTATAGGTAGTGTGGGTATGGGAATGTTCTCTTGGAATCTCCTTATAGGAAATGCATCTGGATTTCTAGCTAGAGAGTTTGGGAGAACAGAACGGTGAGCGTCCCAAAATCAAGGAGCTGTATAGAAAGGTACGGAGACTAAAGCTTAAAGATGATTTGGTATCTACACTGAAATGAATGTCCGGAACATGTTTTAGTGTGGACATGGGTTTTCCCTTGTTTCATAGTTTAACCTGTTATTTCTCTTTTGTTTCAAACAATGTGTTAATTATCTTATCTATTGCTGCTTGACAATTTTAGCAAAATCAGCAAACATTTATTGTTGTTTCTGTAGGTCAGGAATCCTGGTGCAGCTTAGCTGGGTGCCTCCGGTTCAGGGTCTCTCACAGGCTGCAGTCACGGTGTTAGCTGGGGCCGCAGTCATTTCAAGACTCGACTCGGGGAAGATGTGCTTCTAAGCTCACTCATATGGCTGTTGGCAGGCCTCATGTCCTCAGGCTGTTGGCCAGTGATACCATGTCCTTGCCACCAGGGTCTCTACAAAGGGCGTTTCACAACGTAGCATCTGGCCTCCCTCAGAGAGCACAAGAGAGGGTGCCCAGGATGGAAGCCACAGTCTTCGTAACCTTATCTTGGAAGTGACTTCTCATCACGTCTGCAGCAGTCTGTTCACTAGAAGCCATTCACTAAATCTAGCCCACAGTCAAAGGCAGGGCGATTACATAAGGGTGTGAATACCAGGAAACAAGGATCGTTAGGGATTGTGTTAGATCCTCACTACCAGAAACAGTAAAAATATTTAGGTATCCTCAAAGACGGTATGTTTGGAACTTCCCTGGTGGTGCAGTGGTTAAGAATCCACCTGCCAATGCAGGGGACACAGGTTTGAGCCCTGGTCCATGAAGATCCTACATGCCATGGAGCAACTAAGCCCGCACACAACTACTGAGCCTGTACTCTAGAGCTCGCGAGCCACAACAAAGACAAGCCACTGCGATGAGAAGCCTGTGCACCACAATGAAGAATAGCCCCTGCTTGCCACCACTAGAGAAAGCCTGCGCACAGCAACGAAGACCCAACATGGCCAAAAATAAATAAATTGATTAATTAATTTTTTTAAAAAAAAAGACAGTATGTTTGCTTCAGGATAAGGAGTCATTCCCCTTCTACTGTAGAACAAGAGAGGCCCCTTGCCTAAGTCTCCTTAAAAAGCCCCCTGACTATTCTCTTTACCTTGAGCCTTGGTCCCTCAACTCCATCTTCTTTATTGCAATCAGAATAAGCTCTTTATCTCCAAATCAATCAGTGAATCAGATTCTGTCTCTCTCTCTCTCTCTCTCTCTCTCTCTCTCTCACACACACACACACACACACACACACACACACACGTTCTTTCTGACCTTTGCTTATGCTTCTGCCTCGTCTGGGCTGCCCTGTGGCTAACTCTCCTCCTTTTTATTATCTAAACTCTTCCTCGTAGTTTAAAATCAGATAGCACTTTACTCTGTACTCCCAAGACTGAGTATATGCCATTCCTGTGTGTGCATGTGGCCTCTGTCAAAGCACTTACTACTGTATATTTACATGTTGAGCAACCTGTCTAGAGTCTGTGTGCGGTGAGGATGGGACTATCTTATTCACTTATATCCCTAGCGACTCGCACTGTACCGAGAAAGTAGCAAGAGCTCAGTAAATGTTTGTTGTTTGGTTGCATGTGAGTTGAAATACCATTATAGAAGCACCCAGTAGCTAGTGGCAGTGGGAAGAGTTGCCGGATGTCTTCCTCTGCTGCCTGTTCTCCCTACCCTGAGGGGTACTAACCTGCTGCTCCAAATTGAGAAGTATCCCTAGAGGACTAACCAGCATAAAGCATCCAGACCCACAGAAGGAGTAGAGACTAGAAAGGGTAGCCACTCTGAGACCCTGTTCTAGTATTCTTAATCTAACCCTAGATTTCCCTATGTGGGTGTGAATAAGTGGGTCTTCATGCTTTTATATGGGGAGACATAAAAAAGACCTCTCAAGTTGCAACTTCTTAAAATCATCTTTATTGAGGAAAGACTAACATACTCATTTTAAATATACAGTTAAATGAATTTCACATTTACAGTTTTTTTCTACAGTTAGATTTACAAATGTAATTTTCTCTTAAAACTTTTTTTTTTAATAGCCATTCTGACAGGTGTGAAGTGATATCTGGTTTTGATTTGTATTTCTGTAATAACTGGTGAAGTTGGGCATCTCTTCATGTGCCTGTATGTCTTTTTTGGAGAAATGTCTATTCAGGTCTTCAGGTCATTTTTTGATTGGGTGGTTTGTTTTTTTTCATACTGAGTCATATGAGCTGTTTATATACTTTGGATATTAATCCCTTGTCGGTCACATCATTTGCAAATGTTTTCTCCCATTCTGTAGGTTGTCTTTTGTTTTGTCTGTGGTTTCCATTGCCATGCAAAAGCTTTTAAGTTTAGTTGGGTTCCATTTGTTTATTTTTGCTTTTATTTCCTTTGCCTTAGGAGACAGATCCAAAAAAATATTACTACAATTTATGTCAGAGAGTATTCTGCCTATATTCTTTTCTAGCATGCTTTCCATATTTATCCCTTTACACAGACTCTTCCATCATTTTTCCAAAATCCAAGGCCTACCTTTAAGTATAACTTATCTTATTCAGTCTTTAATAGTTCTTAAGCAAGTAGTTATTTCTTTCTGTTTTCCCTCAGTATTTTATGCATTCTTCTTACTAAGTGCTCATGATATCTCAGTGCAATTATTTATTTTTTCATGCCTTTCTCCAATAGAGTTTTCAAGCAGTCTTTTTTCTACTCTGAGCTCCTGGAGAACTTGGTCTGTACAAAATTTACAGTTAGTTTTGTGGTAATTTAGAGCATTTCGTCACTCAGTGGAGCTTTCTACCAGTCAATTTATATTTAACTGAATGTAGTTTCATGCCTTTTGATTTGTGAAAGAATATTACTCTTAGAATTTCTGCAGTGTTTGGTTACTTCCACATTGTACTTTAACTGTCTTTTGCAACTGTCTTTTTTTCCTTCAGTGTTTCTCTAAACTCTACTTAAGTTTATAGGTAAAAATACTCATTTTGAGCAGTTATAATGTTCACACTTTTAATGGTATATTTAGCTGTTTACCCTAAAGACAGTTCATTTGGAGTACCTTAACATGAAGTTAGCTGTATTTATCTATAGTCTAAATTATACTGTCTATAATTTGCTTAATTTCTAGGGTTCAACTGCACGAATAGATCACGAAACAGCCAGTGTTTTGAGTTCTAGCAGCACACATTCTGCTCCTCGAAGGCTGACAAGTCATCTGGGAACCAAGGTAATAGATTATAAGCACTGAGCACTCCCTGTGACTTCTCCCTCTGTGCCTTGCCTGCAGTGGCACACACCTCCACTTCCCAGCCCACCGAAGAATGACTGTCAGAGTCCTAGCCAGCCTTCAGAAATCTTCTTGGGCTTTCCTTCTTTACAAAACATTTTCTGATTTCCAGGGTCCTCTCACCTCCCCATGCAGTCTGTCTACCTCCTTTGAATCACTACAGTTGGAGCACAGGGACTGTTTTTTATCCTTTGCAGCATCGAGCACAGAATCTGCACATAATGAGTGTTTAATAAATGCTTAGTGGATGGAAAAATTATTGAAATTGAATGTTATCCTATTCACTGCTGATAAATGAGTTTTCTTAGGGTCTCTTAGATGTTAGTAAATATTTTGGGGGACTTGAGAATAGTATGTTTGAAAAGAAAATAATTATTTTATTATTGTTAAAGCCAGAGGCTTTACTATTATATGAACAAAAATGAAATTCTAATATTACTAAGCAGTATATTTTCAGTTAAATCTAAATCATTCCACTAGTTGTTTTCACAGCATACTCTACATAGTCTTTCTTTACTTTAATAATATAGTGGCTCTTAGGAAAAGCATTACTGAAATAACTAATGTCGATTTAAGAAATGAATTTTAGAGTATCAATGGTATTGTTAATATGAAACTTAATCCTTTTAATAACTCACAATAGTTACTACTTGGGACCGCTAGGATGCCAGTGACTGCTGGGAGTTGTATGTTTATTATCTCATCTTCTCGAAAACCTCTTTTTAAAACGAGGTATTCTTGCCCCTCTTTTTAAAATGAGAATACTGAGGCCAAAAAAAGATTCAGACAGCTGTCATGTAAATAAATTGGAATTCAACCCCAGATCTGTCCAACATCAACAAGTAGTTTTCAATATAAAGAAAATGTTTAATATTCAACAGTACTATTGCATGAAAACTGGCAGCTAGAATACCATTTCCTTTTGAAGTGATTTATGCATGATAATATTAAGACCTTACTACATTTTTGAATGCCAGTTACTGTGCCATACATGTGTTATTTTATTTAATCTTCACAAAGAAAACCCTATTGGGTAAATTTCTCCATTTTGCAACTGAGACAACTGGGCCTCAGAGAGTTCAAATAACTTGGTCGTGTCACACAACTCACTTGTAAATGGTGGAGTCAGAATTTGAAAGACTATTTATCCACAGTTCTGTACTGCCTTCCTAATAAAACTTTCATATCTATGAGTAGTGTGTGTCTACACATTTAGAGTAGAGTTTCTCAGCCTCAGCATTATTGGCTGGATAATTCCTCATTGCATTGTAGGATGTTTAGCAGCATCCCTGGTCTTTTCCTACTAGATGCCCGAAGCTTTTCCTCCCGAAGTTGTGACCGCCAAAAATGTCTCCAAGACGTTGCCAAAAGTATCTCAGCGTGGCTAAAATTGCCCTGGTTAAGAACCACTAATTTACAGATATGATACATTTATGTAATAGCCTCTACTTTTATGTAATAGCTCTCACTTTAAAATGAGGTTGATCACAGTGCAGAATAACTGGGTACTGTTTCCTGTTTCTAATCTGCTTCTAAGTAAATTCTTAGAATTTATGGTCAGGGAGTAATTGATGCTTACCAGCTGCTTTTAAAAAGAAATTGAATAAGAATCCTGGCTTTGTATCCCTGTATGATCAGAGCATTCTTCTTTTTATAACAAAATATGTTTACATGTATAAGGGAGAAATCATAACTTTAACAATATTATACAGTAAGTCCCCTACATATGAACCTTCAAGTTGTGAACTTTCAAAGATGCGAATGTATTGTAAACCTATTACAGTATAGTACTAAATACCAATTGTGTTAGTTGGGTCCCTGGGCTAGCTTTGTTGGACTTACGAACAAATTGGACTTGTGAACGTGCTCTCAGAATGGAACTTGTTCATATGTAGGGGACTTACTGTACTTATAATCTGGTGAGGGTTAGCAATTGCTGAGCGCTAGTACTTAGTAAATAATAATTGCTGAAAAATATTTTCTCTTTATTGATTATGGTTGTAGATTTTAAAAATTAAAATTTTAAATTGTGTAAAGAATTTAGATAAACCACATTTCTGACTCTGTGTGTTGGTGGGGGTGGGTATGTGTGGTGCGGGGATAGATGTGAGAGAGAGAGAGAGAAACCAGTTGATTGTCATTCATCATAATCAGTGGATTATCACCAGCTGATCCAGACAAACAGCAATTTAGGTTTATGCAAGAACCTACTTTCTCTTTTTCAACACTATGTACTACCACTACTAATATTTACTCATAAACAAATTGGTGATGATTATATTATATGGATTTTGAAATAACGCTCATTACTTCATCCTGGAAAGGGGTTTTTGGTTTTGTTTTTAATGAGTTACAATAAATATCCCATTCATCACTTCATTGGCGTTGGCTTTTGGATATTAAAGTCATAATTTTGTTTCTAAACTCATTTGGCCCACAGGTGGAAATGGTGTATTCATTGTTGTCAATGCTTGGTACTCATGATAAGGATGATATGTCGCGAACTTTGCTAGCTATGTCTAGCTCCCAAGACAGCTGTATATCCATGCGACAGTCTGGATGTCTTCCTCTCCTCATCCAGCTTTTACATGGCAATGACAAAGACTCTGTGTTGTTGGGAAATTCCCGGGGCAGTAAAGAGGCTCGGGCCAGGGCCAGTGCAGCACTCCACAACATCATTCACTCACAGCCTGATGACAAGAGAGGCAGGCGTGAAATCCGAGTCCTTCATCTTTTGGAACAGATACGAGCTTACTGTGAAACCTGTTGGGAGTGGCAGGAAGCCCATGAACAAGGCATGGACCAGGACAAAAATCCAAGTATGTTCCGTATGGTGCATGTTACAAAGCAAATGTAAAAGTTTTTGAAATGAAAACTTTAAATTAGGATGGTGTCTTTATGAATAGGCCTGGGAAATTCATATTAGCCATCTACACTGCTAACATAGTTTAAAGCTTAACTTCTCTAGAAAAAGTTAGCAAAGGAAAATGTTATGTGTACTACAGTGCAACCACAAAAGAACAGAAAATCAAGACAGAGTCATAGCATAGCAGATCTAGAAAGAACTTGAGCGATTTTGTCCCCCATCTCTTGAGATTAAGCTCAAGAAAGTGACTTTACATAAGTTCCTTCAGCTGTTAGTGACCAACCCATAATCTCTTACATTTGCATATCACTCTACTCAGTGGATACAGAGCTGTGTTATATATGTTATTTGATCCTTACAACAACCTTGTGAAGTAGGAAGGGAAGATATCATCTCCATTTTACAGATGAAGAAACTGAGGCTCAGAGAGGCTAAAAGACTTGCCTGTGGCCTCACAGCTAGTGGGTGGTGGAGCCAGGATCAGAGGTCAGATCTCCTGACTCTCAGCCCAGTGCTCTTCCTACTGCACCATCCTGCTTCAGGCCATGGGGCCCCAGTTGCTGGGGTGATCAGCCTCCCAGCTCTTTGCTCAGGGAGAAACCCTTGGCCACCAGCCCCTCTCCCTCAGGAGCAGGGAACATGGGAGTTGGGACCTTTGGGGACATAACTTACTTCATTCCTGTAGCAAGAACCAAAAGCAGTAAGTATATAAGGTAAGACCTTCCTTTCACCCGATAAGAACACACACATGCGCACACACACATGACAAAGGACTATTGTATCAGTATCTTGATTTCGGGAGTAGGAGAACGAGTGATGATGAGAACGTGATCTATAAAGATTTAGCAGATGTTTTTTAGGTAGGTATAAAAGTGAATTTATTTAAAATTTAATAGTTTTCAAGAATAGAGTACAGCAGAAATGTCCTTTATATCTATTTGTCCCAGGGATGAGGAGAACTATAAGATGCTTTACTGGAAGAACGTTGTCTTTCTGGATTGTTTTCTTTGTCCACAATTATATAATGACTCGCATTTTGTGCTCTTAATACCTACTCTCAGAAAAGTTAAATAGAATAAATATTATTACTTCTGAAAAATAGACTTGCTTTTTAAATTTTTATTTCAAGTAACAGTTTTGAAACTTTGTGCATAGTATTAAATGTGCAGGTGCATTTTCTTGGACACCTTGTCTATAAATTTTTGTTTACAATCTGGTATCTGTATAGTAAGCTTTCTATACTAGGTTTATACTAGGTTTCTCTACTACATTTGTATACAGCCACATGCCTTTAAGTTTAAATAGAGATTGTAAATAAAAAGTTTTATACCAAAATGTTTTTATTGTTTCATATAGCCAATATAATTTTTAAGTTATTATTTGAATTATAGCATAAACCTGCATGGGGCCAGCAGACTTGGTCAAAGGCTGATGAGAGGTAGACATTTTTATGGAACCAAGAAAAACCCTTATGTTTTCCTTTCCATGTTTGTAGTATATATATTCATCTCTTTAGCAAATACTTGTTGATTCACTAAACCGCTATGCATTAGGGATGTATTAGTGAGCCCTGAGTATTTTTTAAGTATAATAAACGTCACTACTTTTGAGAAAACAAAGCATTATCGTTTATGTCAATTTTATCTTTCAGTGCCAGCTCCTGTTGAACATCAAATCTGTCCTGCTGTGTGTGTTCTAATGAAACTTTCGTTTGATGAGGAGCATAGACACGCGATGAATGAACTTGGTAAGACAAAATGTTTCTCAATGCCATAGAAGAATACTAAAGATTTTTCATCATTGTTGAATTAGGATATAAGGCCACTAACTTTTATTACCATCTGCTTCCTCCTTGTAGCAAATGACTATACTCTGGTTTCCAGGGGAGACAATGTCCTAAGTGGCAGAAACTGCTACCCTTGTAACCTAACTTGGATTTTTAAAATCTTAGCCAAAGGTTGGAAAAAATACTAAACGGTCCATTCTTGCCCCTATCGTCAAGGTAGACCCTGGGTGACAGTTGATGGGGAGGGTAATTTGAATTGTTTTGAGACGTGGGGCTACGTAATTATTCTTGAACTCAGTCACTTCTGAAAGACATCAGAAGGAATTATTATTAAGATTCTCATTTATCTTCATGGTTATCTGTACTTTACTGGATTTTCATGACAAGCAGCGTGGTATCTCTGAAACTGATTAATACGGAAAAGCATTATGCTCTGATTTATGTTAGAAACATTCCATTAATTGTGGAAGGGTTACTCTTAGGTATGTGTTCTCACATACTCTAAACCTTATATAACCTGCATTTGTGCCCCCCATTTTTCATGTAATGGTTTTTCTTTGATTTCTAGGTTCATTTTGCACATGTGGTATTTATAAGTTGCATCATGCTGAGCCATCTCATGTGAACTGGATCGCTCTAGTCGTGCCACAAGCAAGAACCATACACTGAGTTTCCATCTTAGTGTAGCTGTGCCCTTGCTTTTTGTGCCGGTTATGTTACATTTCATTCAAGCCCCCGCTGTGTATTCCTGCCACCCCTCATCATTATCATTCATCACTTATCTTCAAAGTGACAAAGTCATGACACTCTTAAACACAGAGAACCTGAACGGCCAAAAATGAGTGTTGTCTCCTTCAGAGTCATCACTTTGGGAGGCTGTGTACTTTGTGATTTCCGCCTGCCCTCCAGCCATGCTTTTCTTCCCACAGGCCCTAGCAGTCGGCCCACTTGATTCTCTTTCCTTCCCCCATGCCCCCAGCCTCCTGTGAAACTGAGTACGAGCTTATGAGTTCTCCCCTCCTCAGTACTGCCTCAGCACTGGTGAAATTTTAAGTTTGGGTGTTTTTTTTTTAACGCTAGTAATAATGGGGAAAATAATGAATCAACGGGAAAACGAATCCAATTTTAAGCTCCCGCAAACGTTTTTATAAATGTTCCTGTGTTCCAATGAACTATAGACTAGGACTGACACATTAATCATCTGAATTTCCAAGTAAAATCTAGACTCAGTATTTGTTCCTCTTCCTTCTTCAGGTAGGAAGGCTACCCGGGGCATTTCATCACAGGAGCTAGGGCAGGGGCTTTCAGGTGAGGAGCAGGATGGGGCCTCTGGGGGTGTGACTGCTGGGGGTGTAGCCACAGGGGATTACCCTTCTTCTCACTCCTAGCCTCTGAATTCGCATTGGAGCACAAGAAGGACCAAGGTGTGTGGACCGTGGGGAGATGGATTAAGACAGCACAAGGGATCTGACAGTGAGGAATAAGGAGGAAAGAAGTCCCAAGTGGATGAAGGGAAATTTCTAAGCCCAGTCAGCTAGGACCGTCATTTGTACATAGAAGAAAATTCTTACAACTATTAGGGTCATTTAAGTTTGCACCTATTAGTATTGCAAGTTTTAGACCATAGTACCAGTAATGTATACATTTATGAATTCCCAGCTCTGTCCCAGAAACTGTGCTAGGCACTAGGTATAAAAATGATTAAGACGTGGTCCTGACTTTTCAAGGAATTCATAGTTAATTTGCATTAGTGTTTCCCAAACTAGATCATAATGATCACCAGAGGCAGTTGTCAAACCATGTATTTCTCTGGCCCGTGCGTGGTAAGCAAGCTTAGTAAAGTAGAATCTCCGGAGGAGGGAACCTAGGAATCAAATCTAATAAGTGGCCCAGGTGATTCTTATGATCGGGAAATTTTGTGAAACACCAATATATAGAATATTCATGCTGAGCCCCTAATATTTATTTTAGAATGAGGTGTTTCATGCTAATGGTGACTATCTAAACCAAGTAAAAGAAAAGTAATATACTTTTTAAAAATTAAGTATCATCTTTCTATTATCTCTTTTTGATAAGTTTAAATTAAGGATTTTGTTAAATGTCACCTGAAGCCATTGATCCTCTACTATCTGTAAGGTTATGAGATACCATAGGAGATAGTATTTGGTTCATCTGGACCACTATTCTCTAACATAGACACCAAGAAAATGTGGAAGGATGTGTTCATGACCTTTGCATTACCTTGAAACATCCTAATATTTCTTAGGGCAACCTATTTTTTATTGTATTGCTCATGAATTCACATCATATTTTTGTGAATCCATTTATAGTTTTAATGTATAGATTCTTTGCCTGAAAATTCACTGAAGGTTTTCTTTTTACCTGCCTGAAGTCATAAAGGGCTCTCTCTTCTACCTGATACACTAAATTTTATTGAATGTCCTTTTTTTCATTAGCCATGTTCTTCATGGTTTTATTGGCATTGACCAACTCCTTCTTTAATCTTTGTTTTTAGAATCAAGTCCTAAGATTTTTGGGTTTTCCATACAAAAGTAGTCAGGTGCCTTCTTGGGATTTTCTTTAGATCATTTCACCTTTCTCAAACCAGTATGACAGATACTGCTGTGCCAGGCAGGATTTTATGTAGGCATGAAGCACAGTATGTTTTGTTTTGGCTTTGATCGTCTGCTTTATAATCCTCAACATTTTGGTGATCTCCTCAGTACACAAGGCCACTGTCTTCAGGTCAACAGTGACTCCCAGATCTGTTTCCTGGGTCAAAACTCTCAGTTCTTTTACTGGTGGTTCCTTCTTCTTTACCGAAGTAATAAATAGTGGAATTTTTTGAAGCTCTGTACTAGGCTTTCCTCCACTCTCCCTAGGCAGTATCCTCTACTCCATGGCTTCAATTACAGTGTTTTTCAAATTCACAGCTTAATCCAAGTTCTCTCTCCTGAGGTTTACACACATTTTTCAAACTGCTCATTTGACATCTTCACCTAGATGATTTTTCAGACATTTCTGACTCAGCTGACAGAAACTGAGTTTGTTGTCTCCTCCATCCCCAAATCTCTGTCTCTTCCAGGGTTCCTTTTCTCAGAAAATGGCATTCCAGTCAACCCACTTGCTGAAGCCAGAATCTTAGAAGACATCCATGAGTCTATTCCTTATCCCCTATGTCTCGTAAATGCTTTAATTCTGGTTCTTAAATACATCTCATATCACTGCTCTTCTTTTTATCCCCACCCCAAGCAAGCCTCTGTCATCTCTCCCGTTCTCCCATAGTTTGTCTTACTTGTCCCCCCACTTCCAATCATAATCCATTCTGCAGCCTACAGTCATAGGAATCTGCTTAGAACATACATCTGATTATTCCTTCCCCTGCCTTAAATCCTTGGTGAGGCACACAAAGTCTTGCATAATCTGGCCTCTACCCATTTTTGTAGCCTCACCTGTGACCCTCTCCTTGTTGCTGTATATTTCAGGCCCAGCAGTCCTTGCACGTGCTGTTTCATCTGCGTGAAATGCTTACTTATTGTTTCTGCCCCACCCTTTTTAGATATTCATTCATCCTTTAAGCCTCAAGTTAAACATTATTTCCTCAGCCATTTTCTTGATCCTCTCAATCTAGGTTAAGTTCACCTGTTACCTTGCCCTGTGCTTCTACACAATCCAGTACACTTAAATTAGTTGTTCAATGGCTGTCTCTGCTCTAATCTGTAAGCTCCATAAAGACATTGGCTGTTTTTTTCGTTGGCTGTTTATCTTCCCATCATCATGGGTGGATGGAGGAAAATCTTCCTAAATACGGTTTGGATTTCCCTTAACCAAATTAATTTTTACTTACCTACATTCAAACTCATCTGTCATTGGTGCTAGTTATAAAGATTTACACAAATGTTCCAAGAGTTAAATCCCTTGGCCTGGCATTCTTGACCCAAGATAGAACTTGGTCTATTTTGCAGACTTGCTGATTCATCTACATACTGACCCTTCTAGATCATTTACAAAAACGTACCGATCCTCTTTCAGATTAATGACCTGATTGTTCAGACTTACAGTATCCAAGAATTGCCTGTTTATATTCATCTTCTCTTTTTCTGTCTAAGCCACTTCTCTGACAAAAGAATGTCTCCAGTCCCATGATGATTAATATTGATGATGAATAATATTTTGAATAACCTCCATATGCATTTTTATTTTTCTTTTTATTTACTCCCTCACCATTTTGCTTCACCTTTTGTCTTTTTGTTTTGTTTTGTCTTTTTACCACCCCTTCCTTTATGTCTTTTCCTTTCCTTTCCCTTCATTTTCCTCCTTGCCTTCCTACTGCTGACCACTGTGGGCGTTGTTAAGTATACCCATTGGTGGGAATCAAGGGGAAAGAAAATACTAAATCCTAGTATTGGTATTTGACACTTCATGAGTATCAAAGAAAAGTAAGAATTAAAAAAGTAAAAATTAAAAATGGTTTTATAGAGCTTAGTAATAAGTTGAATAGGTCATTCTTTTTCATAAAAAAAATAAGCTTTGCTTCATGCACAGTTTCATTTAGAAGTTTTAGTATTCCTAAGGATACTAAAAATTATTTGGGAGATAAAAGTATATTAAAGTGATTAGGCCACAGTGTGTGACAATGAAGAGTGTTTGTAAAGTCCTAATAATAAAAATAAGTTACCTTTTTCTGCTTACATTCAGGAAGACCTAGTGTTAGAAAATAGCCTTCTTCATCCGTGACAAGATACAGTGTATGTGCAGTAAATAGAGTATAATGTTCATTTCACTCAGTAAGGCAAGGGGCTGGAGGGTGGAGAAACTGGCAGAAAATGGAATAGTTGTCACTTGTACTTTATAAGTATATTACACAAAAGTCCTTTATAATATTTTCTGTAGCTTGTAATTCTAAAGACAAAATTAAATTTATATATTCTCATTCTTTGAGATTTTTTCCTAATAATTTATAAACTTGGTACCCATTTGTTTTATTTTAGATTATTATCTTTTTCCTCTTGCCCTTTTTAAATTAGGGGGACTACAGGCCATTGCAGAATTATTGCAAGTGGACTGTGAAATGTATGGACTTACTAATGACCACTACAGTATTACCTTAAGACGATATGCAGGAATGGCTTTGACAAACTTGACTTTCGGAGATGTAGCCAACAAGGTATGTTTTATAAGATCCATTTCTTACGATATCTCTGGTGTGAGTTATTTTACTTTCATACAAACTACTTTTCACTGACTCTCTTTTTGTCACTCTCCTCATTAAACACTGACCAACAAAAACCTGTACTTCATGCCTCACTGCATATCCTTACTCATTTGGTTGTCTTATGCCTAAACAAAGGCAAAAGATGGAACACAGTAGTGGATTTATGTGATCACATTTAAAATACTATTCCTGGGAATGATAGCAAAAATCTGGAAATCTTGATGATTGGTGCAAGTGTTATACACGTGTTGGTTCCATCCGAATAAAAGACTTTAAAACCCTTTGCTTATTGTTTCTTATAATTTATTCACGTTATTTTTCCAGTTTACCAAGAAAAGAACAAATACCGAAGGATTAGGAGGGTATTTGTCTCTCATTTATGTAATCTGGTTCTAGTTCTTTTATGGGTAAAACATTAGTTAGGATTGAAATGAGACGATTGAAACTGGATTTGAAGTTTAGTCAAAAATAAAGCATGGCTCCAGGTTGCCTTATTATTGACCCTCTGCAATATTTGATTTTACAGGCTACACTATGCTCTATGAAAGGCTGCATGAGAGCACTTGTGGCCCAACTAAAATCTGAAAGTGAGGACTTACAGCAGGTACTACTTAGAATTTCAAATGTTTTTCTTGGCTATTAGTGGGTTAATACCCTGATTTAGATTAATTTAAGCTGTGGCTCACTGTTTAGCATCTCATGTTTAAATTGTGGCTACATTAACACCAAAATAGAGGAAAATAATTATATTGTAGGAGTTCCTTTTGGCACTATATTAGCATTTAGAAGAAATTTATTTATTAATATATTTCTACTCTTAACATTACGAACAAGAAAGCAACTAGTATGAATAATTTTATAAACAAATTATTCTAAAATTGATTTATTTGCAGGTTATTGCAAGTGTTTTGAGGAATCTGTCTTGGAGAGCAGATGTAAATAGTAAAAAGACTTTGCGTGAAGTTGGAAGTGTGAAAGCATTGATGGAATGTGCTTTGGAAGTGAAAAAGGTACCTTTGAAAACATTTAGTATTACAATAGGGATTTCATCTTGGGATACTTTTTTGCTGCCATCTCCCACTCCTGAGACTCACTAATTTCTGACCCTCTTATCTTACCTATCCCTAGACTTAGACTGCTCCAAACTCCTAAAGTATTAAGCCAGAAAAGATTGTACAAGGTAGCCTAGTATAAGTCAGGGTTTTTCAGACTCAGCACTGTTGACATCTTGCACCAGATAAGTCTTTGTTTTGGAGGACTGATCTGTGCCTTGTAGGATGTTTAGCAGCATCCCTGGCCTTTGCACAGTAGATGCCAGTACACCTTCCCCTCAGTCATAACAATCAGAAATATCTCCACATATTACCAGATGTCCTCTGTAAAGGAAAAGGGACACAATCACCCTCAGTTGCCAATCACTGGTGTTGAGTGTTAACTCTTTGCTGCCCAAATCTCAATCTACCTGAGTCCTCAAATTCTGATAGTCACCCTGTCAAGAGGTAATCAGACCCAAAGGTGAGAAATCCCTCAAATAATAATTTGTTTACAAAAGGAAATAATCTCCAGATAGTATATCTACTTCAGAAACTAAGCAATTTTTTTTTAAATTTGAGAGGAACTAAGCAAGTCTTTTTAGCTAATCTGAATTTCCTTTCACCCAACCAGTCCTCCTTGATCGAGAGCCTACATATTTTTCTCTTCAAAATTTCCTTTTCAGAGAAGGAAGAGTCTGGGGATGTTTTGTTTGTTTACTTATGTATTTTTTCTAAATTATTTTATACCTGAAAATCAACTGAAAAATTGTTAGAAATAAGTATTCAACTAAATAACTGGCTATAAAGTTAATATTCAAAGGTGGTCAAAAGGTACAAACTTCCAGTTATAAGATAAATAAGTACTAGGGATGTAATATACAGTATGATAAATCTTATTAACACTGCTGTATCATTATATATGAAAATTGTTGAGAGTAAATCCTGAGTTCTCATCACAAGGAAAAAAAATTTTTTTCTATTTCTTTAATTTTGTGTATGTATGAGATGATAGATGTTCACTAAACTTATTGTGGTAATCATTTCATGATGTTTGTAAGTCAAATCATTATACTTTAAACAGTGTTACATGTCAACTATATCTCAAAACTGGGAAAAAAAGGTAATACTCACATATACTTAGGGTCTGCATAAAGATACCTTTAAAACACTACCGAATCAGCAGAACACTTGTACTCACACTGCAGAAAAGAAGATACATGAATAGCCAATAAGCACTTGAAAAGATACTCAACATTGTTAGTCATCAGGAAAATACAAATTACAACTACGAGATACCATTAAAGATATTATATTGGTTAAAATTTAAAATATTGGCCAAGTGTTGTCAAGGATGTTAAGCAGCTGGAATTCTCACACACTGCTGGCGGGAATGTTACGTGGCGTACAGGCATACCTTGCTTTATTGCATTTTGCAGACATTACATTTTTTATAAATTGAAGGTTTGTGGCAACCCTGCATTAAGCAAGTCTATCTATGCCATTTTTCCAACAGCATTATTTTTCAGTTAAAGTATGTACATTTTTTTATACGTAATGCTATTGGACACTTAATAGACTACAGTATAGTGTAAACATAACTTTTATATGCACTACAGTATAGTGTAAACATAACTTATATATGCACACCAAAAAAAAAATGATGTGACTTGGCTTTATTGCGATATTGGCTTTACTGCAATGGTCTGGAATCAAACCTGCAATATCTCTGAGGTATGCCTATCCAACTTTAGAGAACATTTGGCAGTGTTTTAAAATTAAACATTTACCTACCATACAACCTGGCCACCCAGGAGAAACAAAGCTTAAATTCACACAAAGACTTACAAATATTCACAGAAAGATTATTTGTGATAGCCAAAAACTAAAAATAACGCAAATGTCCATCAATAGGTAAATGGGTAAACAAATTGTGGAATACAATTTGGCTATTAAAAAAAAAAATGAATGACCTATTGTGACATTCAATAATCTACAATGACAGGAATCAGAACAGCAGTTGCCTGGGGTTGGGGTTGGATTATGGGTGGCATGAGGAAAGTGGAGGGGGTGATATAAATGTTATCTTGGCATACACACACATCAAAAATGATCAAATTGCACACTTGAAATATGTGCAGTTTATTGTTCTCTAATTATACCTTAATAAAATTATACAAAAAAATTAGCCCCATGTACACTTTAAGACTCCTTTCTTATCAAGCTTGTGTGTTTTCAGAAAGATTTAATGTATTTGTAGGTATTATGGGAACTTGTATTGCTGCTGAATAGCTCATTATTTTATTGTCGCTCAAGGACCTCAAAGATGTACATACAAACTAATTGCTACAAACGAAGGAAGTTAGATTAAAAGACACATCCTACTGAGAAACGTAAGAGAAGACCATAATAAATGGAAAGACACAGCCTGTTCTTGTAAAGGAAGAGTAGTAGTTTAAAGACCATTTCTCCCTAAATTCATCTATAAATTTTTAATGCAAGGGCCAATCTTGGAAAAAGTAGCCCATCAGAAATTTATAATATCCAATTCTGGTTTGGGCCTGCTCTGGTTAGCAGTATTAGAATTTATTTTTTCCCTCTTTTTCTACATTCAGTGCAGCCGTCATTATAAACGTTCTTATTCTCTTTTTTAATTTGTCATCTCTTCCTTGTCAACTTCGTTTACTACTAATGACCACAAGAACCAAAACTACCTTCCATGTTCCCCACGTACTGCATCATTTTACCATCATTCGCTGGCTCTTACTCTTCTACACAGCAGAATCTTTCCTTCACCTGCACTCTGTGCCCTAAGCGTGGCTATTTACTCAGAGCTGTTAGTCTCTTATTCTTGTCTTCTGTATCTTCTTTACTGGGTGTAGGGAAGTCGGCTTTTTTATGTTTCAGCTCTCTGTAAGAAGCCCAATATTTTGAAAATGAAAACAAAAATCCTCTGTTGCTTCTTCTAACTTCTGCAGTGTTCCTCTTTTTCCTGTAAGAACCAAAACCCTGAACATGTAGTCACTTGCTTCATTTCTTAACTGGCCATACCTTCTTCAGTCCTTTCTAATATATTGCTTCTAACAAAATCTAGACTTATAGATTAACTAGGGTATTTCTTTTCTACCTACACCTATATTTGATACTTTTTGATCACATTCCTTACTGAATCTCTTCCCTTTGTTTTTACCACCTGTACTTCCAACATCTAATCATTTCTCCTTGTCTCCTTTAACTATAAAGCTTCTCTGAAACAAGACCCTTGACCCTCTACATGTAGTCTTGAAGAGCAACTTCTGTGTTCCTACCTTCAAGTCTCACCTCTAGGTCAGTTGTAAGTTTAGCTCACTCCTCTAAACTCTTGCCGTTTTTTTCTGTTCTCAGGATACTTTGAATGTCCCACCTTTACCTCATTCACAATATAATTAAAATTGAGCTCTTAGCCTTTTCACATCTTCAGTGGTGAAAGCACTTCTTCCCTGCTTGCTGATAAGTAGTATCTAAACCTGCTCCTACATTGTTTTATTCGTTTAATAACTTGATGAAGAGAATACAATGGCTAGTTCCTTATTGGGTTAGGCCCAAAATGTTTGCCATGACATTCAGGGCCTTCTTTTACCTCTCTGACCTTACTTCCCACAATGCCCCAGCATGGACTTTGACTTCCTCTGTGTCTTCTTTCTGTTCTTTAGTCCTCCCTTGCTTATTTCCACTTCCATGCCTTTCCTCCTTCTACTTCCCCTGCCTTTCCTCCTACTTCCCCTGCCTTCTCTCTGAATGTACATGTCTTTTCTTCTGCAGAGCTGCTCTCCTCCATGAAATATTTTACTTATTTTATTAAATTCAGATGGCAATAATCTTTCCATTAGAGCCCTTGGTTTCAAGTATGATTTTGCATTCTTTTTTCCCCAGAGTAAACAGTTAGCACCTTCAAAGCAAGTATCAGTTGCTGTGTTTTCTGGAGTGCCTCTACTTGTGATAGGCACAGAGTAGATCTCTAATGAATGTTTGTTTGTTCCCTGATTGATTTGTAGTAAGAAGAAAGACTGACATCAGGATCATGGCAAGTTTTGACCAAATATCCTTAATTGTATACTCAGAGTATTTTCTGTGGCATTTATAATTTGTCAGTTTACTGTGATACTGTATACCAGGGAGTTCTGGTTTTTCAATTACTTTGTTTCTTTGGGGATTTTAAGAAATTGGAGTTTTTCTAGTATGCTTTCTTTTTAATAAGTTACATTGTTACTTTTGAATCAACCACACATAAATATATATGTGTGTTTTTATACAAATAAGATTGCACATACTCCTCTGCAACTTGCTCTTTTCATTTAATGATACATCTAGATATCTTTCCGTATCGGCATGTAGAGGGCTTTTTCTAGCTTCTGTTGTCCTGAAAATGCTATCTTTTCAGAATGCACATCAGTTCTGTTTCATATTCTAATATAAGCTCTTGTGAGATATGCGTGCACCATCTAAACATTTAGATAAGTTCATAAAGGTCATTATTTTAATATTGCGTTCTGCTTGTTTCATGGGGATATCACTGTCTTAAGTTCAATTTGGTATTTTATGAAAGTTTTTCTAAATGAGGAGTTCCTAATACTTTACCCGTGAAGGATTGGCAGCAGGGAAGATTTAAAGAGGGGGGAAAAAAAAAAAGCTTCCTCAATAGAAGTAAACATAGACGTTATAAGAAGGAAATTCCAACTCTAATTAGATGACACATATTCTGTTTCTTGATAGGAATCAACCCTCAAAAGCGTATTGAGTGCCTTATGGAATTTGTCAGCACACTGCACTGAGAATAAAGCTGATATATGTGCCGTAGATGGTGCGCTTGCATTTTTGGTTGGCACTCTCACTTACCGGAGCCAGACAAATACTTTAGCTATTATTGAAAGTGGAGGTGGGATATTACGGAATGTGTCCAGCTTGATAGCTACGAATGAGGACCACAGGTAAATACAGGGTTTTATATTACTTTTAAATGAAATTGTAAGATTCATACTCTCAGAAAGACTCAACTGTAAGCAGTGTTTTGTGTAATTATGCAAGTTCTAAGCCAAATTACATTTATGACAATGAAAATATAACTATTAATTCCTGATTTATTCATTAACATATTTATTCTAATACAAGTTCATAGTATCATAAAGATGTCTAGAAATAAATGATACTTGAGAGGTATAACCCATGTGTAGAAGAAAAAATGAAAGTCATAAATATTACAGAGAAGAAAATCCTTTCCTATATGTTAGCATGGCTTAAACGAATATGAGGTTTATAAGAAACAAAACCTTGTGGTTATGATCCAGAGAGTACAATGGTTCACATTTTTCTAGTGGTGCCATAACATCAATAATGATAATATTTTTCAGCCAACCACCATTCATCCAATCTGTTAGAGCTGTGAAACCTAAGAGGCACCTCAGGTACAAGGCACATATCTTCAGAACTTGAGCTCTGTATTATCTCAACAAAAATATGGGTATCTTTCACAGCATATTTATTTATTTTATCCTGTATTGTTCCTCTCTCATTTTCAAAAAGACTATGAGGTACCTTTAGTAAAAGGGCTTTAAAAGAATGTAAACATCTTTTCTTTAAGTTTTTCATGCACCAGCTACCAGCCTTATAGCCCTTTCTTCTGTTCATAGAAGACCTCTTAGACTCAGTAAGCACTCAGGTGTCTTCTGGACTGCTAGAGAGCCGCCATGGTAAAGCTTACTGCACCCTTGCCTATCAGTTTTAGAGCCCACCAGTGCCAACTGTGCTGTCATTAAACTTCATTTTACCATGCCTTAAACAAGCCATAGCTCTTTCAGATCCTAACATTCATTATGCTGACTCTTAACTCTTGTTTTTATAGTTAATGTTTTGAAAACTTTTCTTTCACTTTATTTTTAGAAATAACGACTACACACAATTTGCCCGAGAACACTTGTAAGGAGGAATGGCAGTATTACAAAATCAAACCAGAGGCAGAAATATTATCTAAAAGTCATTCTGCTGACCTAGGAGCTTACAGTGTGCTCCCTGACTTTGTTAAGATCTATTGTCAATCAGTTTCTTCTGTCTGCCTCTTCTGAGATGTCTCAGTTTGTCGACATTGTGGTGCCCATCCAGAGATTAAATGACCACAGCCCTTGTTCAGCTTAAGATTTCATAATACATCTGTACTCCTCAAACTGAGAAACTCCGTCACTATGTAAATAAAGTAAATATATCTACTCAGGAAAAGTGTTTAAAGCTATTGGGTCAGAATAGGAAATGCAGAATTGATTAAACTTAACGCTTTTACTTCTTTTACTCTGACAGATGAGTACTTTAAAACAATAGACATTAAATGAACTAAGATAGAACAAAAGGAAATAGGCAATGCCTGAAATTTATAGTATAATTTGGTGTAATTTTATTATGCCTGTTGTTAATAAGCTTTAGTAGTTATCTTTAGATTTAAATTTGTTTTCTGTCCTTTTATTTGTTGTTACTACGAACAGATTTTTACCTTACTTTTGTGATATTTTTATTTCAGGCAAATCCTAAGAGAGAATAATTGCTTACAAACCTTATTACAACACTTGAAATCTCACAGTTTGACAATAGTCAGTAATGCATGCGGAACCTTGTGGAATCTCTCAGCAAGAAATCCTAAAGATCAGGAAGCATTATGGGACATGGGAGCAGTCAGCATGCTCAAGAACCTCATTCATTCAAAGCACAAGATGATTGCTATGGGAAGTGCTGCAGCTTTAAGGAATCTCATGGCAAATAGACCTGCAAAGTATAAGGATGCCAATATCATGTCTCCTGGTTCAAGCTTGCCTTCTCTTCATGTCAGGAAACAAAAAGCCCTAGAAGCAGAATTAGATGCTCAGCATTTATCAGAAACTTTTGACAATATTGACAATTTAAGTCCCAAGGCATCTCATCGTAGTAAGCAGAGACACAAGCAAAATCTCTATGGTGACTATGTTTTTGACACCAATCGACATGATGATAATAGGTCAGACAATTTTAATACTGGAAACATGACTGTCTTGTCACCATATTTAAATACTACAGTGTTGCCCAGCTCCTCTTCATCAAGGGGAAGTTTAGATAGTTCTCGTTCTGAGAAAGATAGAAGTTTGGAGAGAGAACGAGGTATTAGCCTAGTCAACTACCACCCAGCAACAGAAAATCCAGGAACCTCTTCGAAGCGAGGTTTGCAGATTTCTACCACTGCAGCCCAGATTGCCAAAGTCATGGAAGAAGTATCAGCCATTCATACCTCCCAGGAAGACAGAAGTTCTGGGTCTACCCCGGAACTACATTGTGGAACAGATGAGAGGAATGCACTAAGAAGAAGCTCTACCACCCACACACATGCAAACTCTTACAACTTCACCAAGTCAGAAAACTCAAACAGGACATGTCCAGTGCCATATGCCAAAGTAGAATACAAGAGATCTTCAAATGATAGTTTAAATAGTGTCAGCAGTAGTGATGGTTATGGTAAAAGAGGTCAAATGAAACCAGTTGAATCCTATTCTGAAGATGAGGAAAGTAAATTTTGCAGCTATGGTCAGTATCCAGCTGACCTAGCCCATAAAATACATAGTGCAAATCATATGGATGATAATGATGGAGAACTAGATACACCAATAAATTATAGTCTTAAATATTCTGATGAACAGTTGAACTCCGGAAGGCAAAGTCCTTCACAGAATGAAAGGTGGGCAAGACCCAAACATATAATAGAAGATGAAATAAAACAAAATGAGGAAAGACAATCAAGGAGTCAAAGCACAACTTATCCTGTATATCCTGAGAGCACTGATGATAAACACCTCAAGTTCCAACCACATTTTGGACAGCAAGAATGTGTTTCCCCATATAGGTCAAGAGCAGCCAATGGTTCAGAAACAAATCGAGTAGGTTCTAATCATGGAATTAATCAAAATGTAAATCAGTCTTTGTGTCAGGAAGATGACTATGAAGATGATAAGCCAACCAACTATAGTGAACGTTACTCTGAGGAAGAGCAACATGAGGAAGAAGAGAGACCAACCAATTATAGCATAAAATATAATGAAGAAAAACATCATGTGGATCAGCCTATTGATTATAGTTTAAAATATACCACAGACATTCCTTCTTCACAGAAACCAGCATTTTCATTCTCAAAGAATTCATCTGGACAGAGCACTAAAACTGAACACATCTCTTCAAGCAGTGAGAATACAGCCACACCTTCATCTAATGCCAAGAGGCAGAATCAACTCCATCACAGTTCAGCACAGAGCAGGAGTGGTCAGACCCAAAAAGCCACCTCTTCCTCTTGCAAAGTTCCCTCTATCAACCAAGAAACAATACAGACTTACTGTGTAGAAGATACCCCAATATGTTTTTCAAGATGTAGTTCATTATCATCTTTGTCATCAGCTGAAGATGAAATAGGGTGTGATCAGACAACACAAGAAGCAGATTCTGCTAATACCCTACAAATAGCAGAAATAAAAGAAAGCAGTGGAACTAGATCAACTGAAGATTCTGTGAGTGAAGTTCCAACAGTGTCACAGCACATTAGAACCAAATCCAGCAGACTCCAGGCTTCTGGTTTATCTTCAGAATCAACCAGGCACAAAGCTGTTGAATTTTCTTCAGGGGCCAAATCTCCATCAAAGAGTGGTGCTCAGACACCTAAAAGTCCACCAGAGCACTACGTTCAGGAGACTCCACTCATGTTTAGCAGGTGTACTTCTGTCAGTTCACTTGATAGTTTTGAGAGTCGTTCAATTGCCAGCTCCGTTCAGAGTGAACCCTGCAGTGGAATGGTGAGTGGCATTATAAGCCCCAGTGACCTTCCAGATAGCCCTGGACAAACCATGCCGCCAAGCAGAAGTAAAACCCCTCCTCCCCCTCCTCCTCAGTCAGCTCAGACTAAGCAAGAAGTACCTAAAAATAAAGCACCTAGTGCTGAGAAGAGAGAAAGTGGCCCTAAGCAAGCTGCTGTAAATGCTGCAGTACAGAGGGTCCAGGTTCTTCCAGATGCTGATGCTTTGTTACATTTTGCCACAGAAAGTACTCCTGATGGATTTTCTTGTTCATCTAGCCTGAGTGCTCTGAGCCTCGATGAGCCATTTATTCAGAAAGATGTGGAATTAAGAATAATGCCTCCGGTTCAGGAAAATGACAATGGGAATGAAACAGAAAATGAGCAGCCTGAAGAATCAAATGAAAGCCAGGGAAAAGAGGCGGAAAAACCCACCGATTCTGAAAAAGATCTGTTAGATGATTCAGATGATGATGATATTGAAATACTAGAAGAGTGTATTATTTCTGCCATGCCAACAAGATCTTCACGCAAAGCCAAAAAGCCAGCCCAGACGTCTTCCAAATTACCTCCACCTGTGGCAAGGAAACCAAGTCAGCTGCCTGTGTACAAACTTCTGCCATCACAAAACAGATTACAAGCACAAAAGCATGTTAGTTTTACACCAGGAGATGATATGCCTCGGGTGTATTGTGTAGAAGGGACACCTATAAACTTTTCCACAGCTACATCTCTAAGTGATCTAACGATAGAATCCCCTCCAAATGAGTTAGCTGCTGGAGAAGGTGTTAGAGCAGGAACACAGTCAGGTGAATTTGAAAAACGAGACACCATTCCTACAGAAGGCAGAAGTACAGATGAGGCTCAAACAGGGAAAGCCTCATCTGTAACTGTACCTGAACTGGATGACAATAAAACAGAAGAAGGCGATATTCTTGCAGAATGCATTAATTCTGCTATGCCCAAAGGAAAAAGTCACAAGCCTTTCCGTGTGAAAAAGATAATGGACCAGGTCCAACAAGCATCTATGTCTTCATCTGGAACTAACAAAAATCAATTAGATGGTAAGAAGAAGAAACCTACTTCACCAGTAAAACCTATACCACAAAATACTGAATACAGGACATGTGTAAGGAAAAATACAGACTCAAAAAATAATTTAAATGCTGAAAGAAATTTCTCAGACAACAAAGATTCAAAGAAACAGAACTTGAAAAATAATTCCAAGGACTTCAATGATAAGGTCCCAAATAATGAAGATCGAGTCAGAGGAAGTTTTACTTTTGATTCACCTCATCATTACACACCTATTGAAGGCACTCCATACTGTTTTTCACGAAATGATTCTTTGAGTTCTCTAGATTTTGATGATGATGATGTGGACCTTTCCAGGGAAAAGGCTGAATTAAGAAAGGGGAAGGAAAGTAAGGAATCAGAAGCTAAAGTTACCAGCCACACAGAACTAACCTCAAACCAACAATCAGCTAATAAGACACAAGCTGTTCCAAAACATCCAATAAATCGAGGTCAGCCTAAACCCGTGCTGCAGAAGCAATCCACTTTTCCCCAGCCCTCCAAAGATATACCAGACAGAGGGGCAGCAACAGACGAGAAATTACAGAATTTTGCTATTGAAAACACTCCGGTTTGCTTTTCCCGAAATTCCTCTCTAAGTTCTCTTAGTGACATTGATCAAGAAAACAACAACAACAAGGAAAATGAACCTATCAAAGAGACAGAGCCCCCTGACTCACAGGGAGAACCAAGTAAACCTCAGGCGTCAGGTTATGCTCCTAAATCATTTCACGTTGAAGATACCCCTGTTTGTTTCTCAAGAAACAGTTCTCTCAGTTCTCTCAGTATTGATTCTGAAGATGACCTGTTGCAGGAATGTATAAGTTCTGCAATGCCAAAAAAGAAAAAGCCTTCAAGACTCAAGGCTGATAATGAAAAGCATAGTCCCAGAAATATGGGTGGCACATTAGCAGAAGATTTGACACTCAATTTGAAAGATATACAGAGACCAGATTCAGAACATGGTTTATCCCCTGATTCAGAAAATTTCGATTGGAAAGCTATTCAGGAAGGTGCAAATTCCATAGTAAGTAGTTTACATCAAGCTGCTGCTGCCGCATGTTTATCTAGACAAGCTTCGTCTGATTCAGATTCCATCCTTTCCCTGAAATCAGGAATCTCTCTGGGATCACCATTTCATCTTACACCTGATCAAGAGGAAAAACCCTTTGCAAGTAATAAAGGCCCACGAATTCTAAAACCTGGGGAGAAAAGTACATTGGAAGCTAAGAAGTTAGAATCTGAAAATAAAGGAATAAAAGGAGGGAAAAAAGTTTATAAAAGTTTGATTACTGGAAAAATTCGATCTAATTCGGAAGTTTCAAGCCAAATGAAACAACCCCTTCAAACAAACATGCCTTCAATCTCTCGAGGTAGGACAATGATTCATATTCCAGGAGTTCGGAATAGCTCTTCAAGTACAAGTCCGGTTTCTAAAAAAGGCCCACCCCTTAAGACTCCAGCCTCCAAAAGCCCTAGTGAAGGTCAGGCAGCTACCACTTCCCCCAGAGGAGCCAAGCCATCAGTGAAGTCAGAATTAAGCCCTGTTACGAGGCAGGCGTCCCAGACACCTGGGTCAAATAAAGGGCCTTCTAGATCAGGATCTAGAGATTCCACTCCTTCAAGACCTGCCCAGCAGCCATTAAGTAGACCTATGCAGTCTCCAGGGCGAAACTCAATTTCTCCTGGTAGAAATGGAATAAGTCCTCCCAACAAATTATCTCAACTGCCAAGGACGTCATCCCCTAGTACTGCTTCAACTAAGTCCTCGGGTTCTGGGAAAATGTCTTACACATCTCCTGGCAGACAGATGAGCCAACAGAACCTCACCAAACAAACGGGTTTATCCAAGAATGTCAGTAGTATCCCAAGAAGTGAATCTGCCTCCAAAGGACTAAGTCAAATGAGTACTAGCAATGGATCCAATAAAAAGGTAGAACTTTCTAGAATGTCTTCAACTAAATCAAGTGGAAGTGAATCTGATAGGTCAGAGAGACCTGTATTAGTACGCCAGTCAACTTTCATCAAAGAAGCTCCAAGCCCAACCCTAAGGAGAAAATTGGAGGAATCCGCTTCATTTGAATCTCTTTCTCCATCTTCTAGACCAGATTCTCCCAGTAGGTCCCAGGCACAGACTCCAATTTTAAGTCCTTCCCTTCCTGATATGTCGCTGTCTACACATTCATCTGTTCAGGCTGGTGGATGGCGAAAACTCCCACCTAATCTCAGTCCCACCATAGAGTATAATGATGGAAGACCAGTAAAGCGCCATGATATAGCACGCTCTCATTCTGAAAGTCCTTCCAGACTTCCCATCAATAGGTCAGGAACCTGGAAACGTGAGCACAGCAAACACTCATCATCCCTTCCTCGAGTAAGCACTTGGAGGAGAACTGGAAGTTCATCCTCAATTCTTTCTGCTTCATCAGAATCTAGTGAAAAAGCAAAAAGTGAGGATGAAAAACATGTGAACTCTACTTCAGGAACCAAACAAACTAAAGAAAACCAAGTATCCACAAAAGGAACATGGAGAAAAATGAAAGAAAGTGAAATTTCTCCCACCAATAGTACTTCTCAGACCACTTCCTCAGGTGCTGCAAATGGTGCTGAATCAAAGACTCTGATTTATCAAATGGCACCTGCTGTTTCTAAAACAGAGGATGTTTGGGTGAGAATTGAGGACTGCCCCATTAACAACCCTAGATCTGGAAGATCTCCAACAGGAAATACTCCCCCAGTGATTGACACTGTTTCAGAAAAGGGAAACCCAAACACTAAAGATTCAAAAGATAATCAGGGGAAACAAAATGTGAGCAATGGTAGTGCTCCTGTACGCACCATGGGTTTGGAAAACCGCCTGAACTCCTTTATTCAGGTAGACGCCCCAGACCAAAAAGGAACTGAGGGAAAACCGGGACAAAGTCATCCTGTCGCTGCATCAGAGACTAATGAAAGTTCTATAGCTGAACGTACCCCATTTAGTTCTAGCAGCTCAAGCAAGCACAGTTCACCGAGTGGGACTGTTGCTGCCAGAGTGAGTCCTTTTAATTACAACCCAAGCCCAAGGAAAAGCAGCGCAGATAGCACTTCAGCCCGACCATCTCAGATCCCAACGCCAGTGAATAACAACACAAAGAAACGAGATTCAAAAAGTGACAATACAGAATCCAGTGGAACTCAAAGTCCTAAACGCCATTCTGGGTCTTACCTTGTGACATCTGTTTAAAAAGAGCTGGAATGATGAAACTAAGAATGTGTTAGTGTTAATTACAACTGCTATGTAGAAATTTTGTTTCAACCAATATGTATAAAATAGATAACTAATAAGAACCTGCTGTATAAAAAATAAAATTCAAAAAAAATTTTTGTTTCAAATGAAACTAAAAGACTGAAAAATTTTGTAAATAGGTTTGATTCTTGTTAGAGGGTTTTTGTTCTGGAAGCCATATTCGATAGTATACTTCATCTTCACTGGTCATATTTTGGGAGGCACTCTTGATAGTTAGGAAGAAAATGGTAAAGCCAAGTATGTTTGTACAGTATGTTTTTCATGTATTTAAGTAGCATCCCATGCCATCATCCTTTAATTATTGCTTGTCTTAAAATAACACTACAGATAGAAGATATGATATATTGCTGTTATCAATCATTTCTAGATTATAAACTGACTAAACTTACATCAGGGAGAAATTGGTATTTATGCAAAAACCATTCTGTTTTAGTCCTTGTGAGCCCATCTGACATCATAATCATGTGGCTGTGAAATTCACAGTAATATGGTTCCCGATGAACAAGTTTACCCAGCCTGCTTTGCTTTACTGCATGAATGAAACTGATGGTTCAATTTCAGAAGTAATGATTAACAATTCTGTGGTCACATGATGTTCATATAGATAGCTATAGTGTAACAACTTACACTCTTTTGTGCTCAAAACAAACAAACAAAAAATCTGTGTAACTGTAAAACATTGAATGAAACTATTTTACCTGAACTAGATTTTATCTGAAAGTAGGTAGAATTTTTGCTATGCTGTAACTTGTTGTATATTCTGGTATTTGAGGTGAGATGGCTGCTCTTTTATTAATGAGACATGAGTCGTGTCTCAACAGAAACTAAATGAACATTTAAGAATAAATTATTGCTGTATGTATAAACTGTTACTGAAATCGGTATTTGTTTGAAGGGTCTTATTTCACATTTGTATTAATAATTGTCAAAAGGGCCTCTTTTAAAAGCTTATATAATTTTTTTCTTCAAATTCTATGCATTAAGAGTAAAATTCCTCTTACTGTAATAAAAACAATTGAAGCTGACTGTTGGCATTTAACCATTCCATGCATTGGCACTTAACCTTTCCTGAAAAAAAAAAACTGTGTGATTAGCACCAAGTATAATCAGCACTTTGCCATGCTCAGAAAATGCAAATCATGTTGAACTTCAAAGGTAGATTTGACACTGTTAAGATATTCAAAAGGCTATTTAGAAAGCCCTGTCTGTTAAGGGAGACTTTGTTTTTGATAGGTAGGTTTGTGGAGTATGCGTTCCAGCTCCCGCTTCCTCACACAGCAGGGAGAGAATCCTTCAGGAAGGAAGATAAACTGATAGAAGTATTTAAAAAGCTAACAGTATATCTTCCCAGAATTTGTTCTAAATGATCAGAGGGTAAGGATGATGATAAATGCTCACGTATTTGTTGAATAAATGAAAATTTATTTTTAATAATAAAATACATGCACTCTGTGTTGGGGGGAAGGGAAAAGGTATTTGGATATAGCAGGATGCTGGGAAAGGGGGTGAGGAGTAAGCACATCTTCCTGGTGTCTTTGAAATCACATCATGTAGTTAATTATCTACCCTCACCTGTGTTTATCATTTACAGGTCATGACTTTTTTGAAGTCATTTACTAACATGCCAGTAAATAAGTGCTGTGATTTGAAATAAGGCATTTGACTCCAAAGCCCATACTCTTTCTATTGCACCACTTTGCAAACACCTCAATTTACTGACCTTTGGAGTATATCTACATTTAAATTTTTGTCAGATTTTATCTGAATGAAATGGTTTGTAAGTAGTAATACTAAATTATTCTGTTTTTCTCAAAGGCTGCCTTATCCAACAGGGACACATGGATATAAGTCATATTTCTTTCCTTTTCCTTTAGTCCTGATTTTCTATTTTTTTGAGTTACTCGTGCCAATTTTTATAAACCACTTCAAATACTTTTATGGAAAGAGATGGGATATAAGTCAATTAGAATAAAATCGCCTTTCCCAAGGAAGGAGAAAAACAATGCTCAAAATGAAAAAAGGGTGCCTTCCATATGCCAGAAAATTCAGGAATTCCGGTAGACAGCCTGCTGGGAGAAGGTGCAATCAGTCTGCATTGCCCATTGAGGGAAAAGTTGCTGTATGAGACCCTCTAGTTAGAGATGATGGCTCTGAATTAGTAAAGGAGCAAATCTCAATTCTACTTTTAGAACTTCACAGAGTGCTGCCATAAGTGACAGCAGGCCAGATATTCTCAGTGTGTGCTTGTTACAAACGGCATACTAAGCATACTGAGCCCAGAGTGGAGTTGCAACACCTGTTAAGTAGGGCAGTGCCCTGTTATCTTTGGACTGCAGCAAACAGCACTCTTAAGGCACTGAGTGGTTTTCAAACTAGAGTGCATTTGATCTTAGTGCAAATCCAAGCCTCATTTGTTTATTGTTTGTGTGTATTTTTTAAATTTATCCATACATTCATTCTGTAATGTTGTAATATGAAAACATGCTCAATATATGTCCTTTGTGGTTAAACAAAAAAACAACTAGAGTGCATTTGAATCACCAAAAATGTTGCTAAGACACACGCCCACACTTTGTGATTCTGAGTGAGGCCCAAGAATGTGCAGTTCTGACAAGTTCTCAGGTGATGCTGATGCTGTTGGTCTGGGAACCACACTCTGAGAACCACTGCCCTGTGTCACCACAGCGAAGCTCCTTGAGTGATTGCCTTCAGTTCCAGCTGCTCTTCTCAACAACTGGACTCGACATATGAGAAAGTATACCAAAACTTCCCTCTCCTTTAGGCAGGAAAGATTTGAATATTGAGCTATACAATCTGATGTAGCCCATCGCAACTCCCAATAGTAGAGAAATTTGCCGGACATGAATGAACGGGTAATTCTAAAGACAATGACTGTGTCTGAGGGATTGACTAATGTTCCCTTTGGAATGGTTATCAAAAAGGCAAAAATTTCAGCAAATACCTAATTTGGATTTGCAATAAGATCAAAAGAGACACACACCAAGAAAAGGGGAAAGAAAAGAGAACTTTGAAGTGAAGGCAGATTGACTTCAGATGAAAGAAAAATGCACCCGTTTTGTTAGTATACAACCAACCAATTAACTATGGCAAATTGGTATTTGAGAATAAGCTTTACAAGTTAACCTTGCACTAGCAGGAAAGTTAATGAGAGGGAAATAATGAAATAAAAGATAAGCCCAAAAGAGTCAAATTGCACTCTAAGTACAGTCAAAATTTTTTTCCATAAACTAGTTACCACAAGGTTAATTAACTGAAGGGATGAGTCTTGCTGCCGAAGGGAGCCAGTTGCACTGTATCTGAATTAATGTTATCACGGGGTTCCTTGTATCTAAGATAGCAAAAGAACAGAGTCCCACAAATGCAAAAAGAAAATTGCCAAGAGCTGAAGAGTATTTCAGTAATCAGATCGTTCACACTTACCAAACAAAAATAATTTTTCAAAAGTCTTGATTGTTGAAATAGAGTGTATAAATTATTTTTTTAATTTCTAATTCCTTCATATTATGCCGACTTTTAAATATTACTTTTGTAGTGTTGAAACCTATTGACTGACTCCTATAAACACCAGGTCATTTTCCTGCCATTCTCCTCTGTTCTTTGGTCTATAAAACTATATTCTGGTTTTTGTTAGACCATTGATGCTTCTTTCAACCTGTATGTTTTTTTGTGTGTATAATGTTGTTCTTGGTGCTAAATACACTTCTGATATTCAGGATAACTCTACATCTGTGACTATTTGCTTATTTTCTTGAAGTTATGAGACTGTTCCTTTTTTTAATTAAAAATACTCAACTTTACGCTAGTGGTGGTGACCACTGAATATAAAGCAACAGTAGTGAAAAATGAACTATTGAGAATGTTGCACACATTACCTGCCCCACCTACACCACCTTTTGGAATCCAGACACTTAGTCTCACTGTTGGTCACTGAACCCTGTACCCAGTCTTTCCCCCCAACCATGGCTGTTTGCACCAGAGGCAGATGCCTGACGCAGGGGAGACTCATCATTAACTGACCAGTGACCAAAGACTTGTGAGGCTTGTCAAAAAAAAAGACTGGGCCAATTTTAAATAAGAGTCAAAGGAAATTTCTGGTTGGTGATTGAGTGCTGGAACTGAAAGATCATATAGAGTTCAGGCTGAGGTCACTATGATTGGCATCATGAAGCTAAAACTAAGAGAAAGTTGGTCACTAGAGTGAGAAGGAACAGATATGGGAGGGAGGCACAGAAAGCAAGTGAGAGACGAGTCACTAGCTGCTGGTGTTACCTCAGTCCTTGCCAATTCTGGGGCCTAGTTCTACTTTTCCTTGTGTTTGGGGGCATTTGTGAACTTCTAAACCCACTTTGTTTCTGAAGTAACTTGAAACTAACAGAAAACTCTTTAGACACATCTTCGTGAGGTTTTTTGGTTTTTTAATATAGTGAAAGCTTTCTAAAATCATCTGTGGGGAGAGAGGAATAAGCTGCCTACCAAACAAACAAACAAAAAAAATAGGTTGGCATCAGATTTCTTCTCTGCAATACCAAATGCCAAAAAAGGAAAATAAAGCAATGGAACAATATATACAGCATTTGGAAGCAAATGGAAATATTACCTAAGAATTCTGAAACCAGTCAAACTGGCATTTAATTTCTCTGGAATACTTGTATCATTTGGGATTCTTATTATAGTTATTAACAACAAGGCCTTCTCTGAAAGACAAAACATTCACTTAAGGAATCTTAGGTAGCTGTATGAGGGCCAGAAAATCAGACTTGGAAACCACAGTGGAAATAATACCCAAACCGTACTGCGAGACTGCTTCGAAAAGAACTAGTTGCCCCCAACCTTTGGAACTCTCTGACACCATCCTCCCCATAAATTATGATTCTGTACAGCACTTGCTTCCTCACACTGCTCACTTCTGGACTGAAGTCTTGCTTGGGTGGATATGATTGGCAGAAGCTCTGTCACATGCCTGTAGAGCCTGGGAACGCTCGGTTGTTTGGTTTCTCCATTGAGGAAGCAGGATGCATAAGACACGAATTCTCCAAATCTATGAGGGGCATTTCTAAAGCACTGGGAAACCAGAATCCATGACATACCTCTACCATAGTATTCCTGCTGCCCAAGCAATTAAAATAAATGGGAAACTATTAAGGAAATGGTTTGAGCAATAAAACCTTTAAACTTGAATAAACGTGTAAATAATTGTGGTTAATCTGATAATGAATCTCATTGTGAATGTCCATGTAACTCAAAACTGAAAAGATGAAATGCTTAATAATTTTAATAATCTTAAATTACAGATTATTCCAACCCAAACTGGGAAATGAGGGAGAGAAGACATAAAAGCATGCTAAACTTCTAATCTTAAGTAGGCAGTGTCAAAAGATACTATTATACTTTTAACTTGGAAAAATAAAAATTCAATTTTTTTATTTAGTGGTAACCCCAGTGTTAAAAAGAAAGAAAAATTTCCATCCAAATCATTAGTCAAAGATAACTAAGAATACTTGAACAAGATATCAAAGAATGGAGAAAATGGGAGAATTAGCCACAAGAAGCATAAAATGACACAGTAATACCAAATAATGAGTGGATTGAGCACATATGGTAAAATAACCACTCTCAGGTTGGAGTCAAGTAAAACAAAAAATATCCTCCAATTATATACCATTAGTAAAAGACACATTTAAAATGATCCAGAATGGGGACTTCCCTGGTGGCACAGTGGTTAAGAATCCAGCTGCCAATGCAGGGGACACGGGTTCGGTCCCTGGTCTGGGAAGATCCCACATGCCATGGAGCAACTAAGCCCGTGCGCCACAACTACTGAGCCTGCGCTCTAGAGCGCGCGAGCCACGACTACTGAGCCCACGTGCCACAACTACTGAAGCCCATGCACTCTAGGGCCTGAGTGCCACAACTACTGAGGGCCTGTGCTGCAACTACTGAAGCCTGCACACCTAGAGCCCGTGCTCCACAACGAGAAGCCACCACAAATGAGAAACCCGTACACCACAATGAAGAATAGCCCCCACTTGCTGCACCTAGAGAAAGCCCGCGCGCAGGAACAAAGACCCAACACAGCCAAAAAAATAAAAATTAAAAAATAAATTAATTAATTTAAAAAATGATCCAGAATGTATAAAACTAAAAGCACAACCACTTTTGCACAGGCAAATGCAAAGAAAACAGTAAGGGTAAATTTATGTCAAAGTATAATTCTGGATAAAAGACATCAAACATAATGAAAAGAAGGTGAACATCAGTTATGACTTTCTTTAAACATCAAATAATAGAGCATCAAGTGTATGAAACAAAATTACAAACACAAAGGGATACTGACAAAAACCATGGAACCGGTGACACTGTCAGTCTTTGACAGATGACTTCGTCTATACAAAACAAAAGGAGAGTTATTATTTAAAACCACAACTTCCTTCCAGAAAGGGTGGCTCTCGTTAAGGTAAAATTCTCAAAAGGTCCTTTTCTTTAGCTGAGGACCTTGGTGGGTTTGGGATCTGTAAAGCCAAGCCTGGAGTTTGAGTGGGAGGAGGATTAGAGAAAATCTCAGAGGTGTGCTTAAGAGAGGCAAGAACTTGGGGTTCGTGGGGTACCCAGGAATGGGGGGGGTGAGGAACAGAGACAGGAATACAAAAGGAAAGAGAAGGCAGAAAAAATGGTAAGAAGCCAAGGTCCTATGAAAACCCTGGTGATGCGGCAGGTAATGATTTTAGAAACAGAGACATACACTATTTCAGTTGAAATCTAAGTTCTTTGCAAAATCTCTGTTCCAGTAGTAACGGATTCACTTGTTTTTAATTTTCAGAATCTTTTTTTAACAATTGCAGTTATCTTCACCATCACATTATTAATAATTATTCGAATTCACTTATATAGTGGATGTAAGTGTTCACCACTGTTTCCCCTATATAGCATAGAGGAAACACTTTCTTCAAATCTTTATGTTAATATAATTTGGCTTGGCTGGAGTATGTCCTTAAATAGTTTTGTTTTGTTTGTTTGTTTTTTCCCAGAAAAGCTAAGTTGGGAATATACTTTCTAAACCCTTGCTTGTTTAAAATAGTTTTTCTTTTGCGCTCAAACAAAGGATAATTTGGGTCACAACTTCAGTCACAGTTCATTTTCTTCAAAACTCTTAACTTCTAATGTTTACTGTGTCTAAGAAGTTCAACAGTCAGTCTGAGTTCTTTTCTCCTATAGATTACTTTTATTTCCTACCTTGGTGTTTTTAGAGTTTTGTTTTTATCCTTAAAATAAAGCAGTTTTACTAGCTTAAGTCCATGTGTGTGTTTGTTTCCACAGCCCTATCTTTTAGTACTGAGTCTTTTCAATCTTGAGTCTTCAGCTCAGTAAATGTTCTCATGTTATGTCTTTTCAAACCAACCAGATCTACCAAAACAGTGCTCTCCATCAGACACCAGCTGGAATCTTGGTGGTGCCTAAGTGGGGACCATATTGTCAGGAGTTCTTGGTGTCCAGAAGTTGCACTCTATTCCTCTAGAAGTGGAAGCACACCTGTCCTCTACTTTGGTATTTGGTATAACACTTCCCCGTAAGAGTACCAAAGCAGTACTGCTTGTGTTCAAATGCCTTAAAGGATTTGTAATGAAACAGGTTCACTAAAAGAAATTTTACTTACAGTCTACCCTCCTACACCAAGATATATCATAGATACGAATCCAACAGAGGCTGGAGATGGAATGTAGACAAATCTTACTCATAAACACCACGTTGTGCTCTGGAATTCTCCCCGTGACAGTTATCCTAGGGCAAATTCTCAGACTTCTGTAGAAACTGGTTTGGTTTGGTCATTGCATGAAGCTCTTTTTACAGGAATCTTGTGCACTTTATAAAGGAGTAAGACATTTATATACATCAGCACCAAACTAATCCACCAAACTAAGACACTAGTACAAGGAAGATTGAGAGACAGGAACTGAGGGGATGGAGAAAAACCAGGGGCTTCCAGTCAGACCAGCTGGGTATTTATGCTCAGTCATCACTAGCGTTGAATGGCGAAAATTACCCAGCCTCGCGGAGACTCAAGCCTTTGGGCAGATTTTTGTTTTGTTTGTTTGTTCTTTCAGTTTTAGAAGAAAATACCTATTTTACCTTGTCCGGTTTTCTGAATAAACGGCCGCTACGAAAACAGGAATAAAGTTGTGTTTAAAGAATGGGATACTGAAACAGTGCTTTGCAATTAAACTAAGCTATGTAAAAATACAGTGAATTTTAGGGTAAAGGTTTTGAAAAGTGTATAGTCAAGCTTCTAACATTATACAGCACACTGAAATACAGTGCCAAGTAATTTTGCTAGTTCCATTTTTGCCAAGTTGAAAGCAACCTGCAGGGCCCAGGAGCAGTTAAAGATTAAACCATAAAGGGTATTTTCTTGCCTACTCTAACAACTTGCTCGGAACTCACAGACCACCCGCGGTGTGGAGCCCTACTCTAAGGACGAGAGAAGTTAGCAGCATCCAAACGCAATGTGAAATTGGCCAAGAAAGACGCGTGAACGCTTAAGCCAATTCTAGTGACAGGGCAAGCGCCCCAAAGGCTGGTTTTGGCTAGATCTTGAGAAGCGAAGGAATTACTAGCGTTCGTGGACCCTCTCGCGAGACGTTTCGACGCCACGTCAGAAACTAGAGACCCTGACGCCGAGCGACAGGTGCCGGAACAAACCGACGGTGAAAAACGGCGGACGCAAAAGC